TGTGATACAGAGACACAAAGTGAGCCTATGCTATTGGAAAAAGTGGCCTCAACATTCTTGCTCAGTGCAGGATTGCCACAAACCTTCAATTTGTAAAAAATGTAATATCTGTGAAGCAAAGTAAAGTATAATAAAATGAGATATGCCTACGACAGTACAAAATGACAAAAATTAGAGTGAACAACTTTTATAATGAAGCAAAGAGCTAGAAAGCCAACTTGTTTCCAGAGAAAGTAGAAATGTTACTCCCAAACCAATTAGACCCAAAATGATTATGACTGATATGTATGGTCTGGGCTCACTCTGAAAGGTTTTGCTTCCTGAAGAAGACCTTAAAATAAAAGCACTACATGCATTTATTCATAATGTTTGAATAAATTCATACAATAAACTGTCAAGAAGATAAATCTGTATATAACAAAAAAAATGACAAAGGGGATGATTCAGTAATATTTCACTTTCTATAGAACTTCCAAAACAAGTTCGTCATTCATTCTATATTTCACTTTCTATAGAGCTTCCAAAATAAGTTCATTATTCATTCTATAATACATTTACTTAACTTTTTAATCTCCCAAAGCTAAACATTTTGGACTAACACTGATAACGGAAATACATTTTAATGCAAAATATATGAAGCAAAATGACTAATAAAGAACTAACCATATGATTGTAATTACAACTTTAAAATTCTCAAAATGATTTTACTGAACTAAATCTAATAGAACAGTAGGACATATAGACTGTTTTTCATTGAGATGGAAAGAAGAAAGTTAAAGTTACAGGTTGCCACCTTTTGCTTAGAGACTTGACATCGTCTGGGTCCTCTCCTGATGAATGCCATGTTTTTAATCTGACTTTCTCATTTAGAGCTGCACAACAGACAGCCCCAGATATTTGATACAGTTATTTCTGAGGCTATTCATATTGTGAGATGAATGTCTACCTTTAATTCCTAGCTCCTTAATTTTTTGTTCACAAGAATTTTTATTAGTTCATATAATTGCTATGGGCAATTATTCATAGCCCATAGCATCTCAAAAAACATATGCATATGGTAGCCACTGGATAAATAGCTAGAAATTAAACCAATGTAGCAAAATGGTTTTATTTACATACAGAAATGAGTAGTACCTCATGGGCAGCAGGGGGCGAAAGTAGCCTCACAAAAGTGGTCATCTCTGCAATCTCACACATCTACTATTAACTATTGAGATTTCATATACAAACACAAAATGTGCTCTTCATAGAATCTTACATACAACATTTTAAAAACCCACTTTCTTGGAGATGACAATTCTAGAAGAATGTTCCAAAGACTAATGTCTAAAGTAAATCAGTTCTAACTGAGAAGCGAGTTTCAGATTGAATGAAGGGCAGAGGAGCTACTGGACAAAGTAGACAAGCATCGCTGAGTGTCCACGTTGTCACAATGTTCAAGTCACGTAATCCTTAAATGTGTTGCATGAGTAATTCGGCTCTGGCTCTTGTGTAATGTTGAAGGGCTACACAGCTTGTTACTATATAAATAAAATTAACTCTTCTAAGCCGTCCTTCAAAAAACATGAATGTGATCCAGGTACAACATAAAAGACGTCAGCTCATCAGCCACACATCTGTTGGTACTTTGAAAGGCATACTTCTCTGTCAAACTAGGCCTTAGAGACACTTCAGGAAGCAAAAACCTGTCACATATTTCATGGATTTCTTTCTTAGACAAGTTCCTGTGATTGACTGGAGCAATATAGAAAAACAAGGAATGATTTAAACTTCTCCATCCCTTTGGGTTTCAGCCAATAATAATCTTAAGACATAACACAAGACTAAAGTAACAACATTTTCAATTTCTTCTCAGCATCCCCGTTCTGCCAGCTTTGATTAAACAAGCGTGGGTGTTTTCTGTTTGAGCTAGACACACTGAATGTAGAAAACTCCTCAGTATCCCTTCACTTATTTTAAAAGATGGAACAAGGGTACACTGGCTGTTGCATGTCTTTGCAGGTATCCTTCTATGAATGGTTATTTTCTAATGCTCAACTTCTGAGACTCAGGAGCTGTCATGCAATGTTGACATGGACATGATGCAAGATTAAGTGAAATGGGATTACCTAAGCCTCCCGCCTCCTCATTAAGTTGCTAGAAATATGAAATGGAAATTTAAAATATAGTCTTGGTAGCCATTGCTGCCTTTTTTACAACTTATTTTTCAATATCTTGACAATTTCTTGAGACAATATTGTATAAGAGAAATAGCAAATGGTTGGAATCAGAAGATCTTGCTTTTGAGAGGCAAGGTCGTTCCATTTATAAGTGAAGTGATTCTGAGGTGGTGCAGGAACCACTCAGCACTACTGGTATTTGATAAATGCAATGTGTCATTTGATTGTAACTGATAATAACCCCTGCATACAACTCATGGTGAATGTGGGGTTGAGGGGCTGTGACTGCCTTTTATTGCTGTTTAGTAAATTTGGAGACTTTTCTTACCCAGAGAGAAGAGGAATAGGGAAACATTGAAAGAAATAAAATTGTGCAGGTACTGATATTTCCTTTTATTTATGGGGGAATATGTCGAAGCACAGTAAGGAACAGTATAGTTTAATAACTGCTAGGGTTTGACCTTCCAATGGTTTTGCCACCCCTTAAAGATCAAACCCCAATTCTTCACACAAACTGACCCAATCACTTGTCATCCCACTGCAATAGTGGTCAGCTTCAGGCCCTCTACACACCTTGGGGGATTTTGTTTTGTTTGCTCATGCCACACCTTGTCTGAAAGTGTCTCATGATTCCTCCTCTCCAACTGAGTTCCATCTAGGATGTAATCCTCTTCCATGAAACTCCTTGAGGACGTCTAACACTCTCTGAGTCCTTTCCTCTAAAATCCCTAAAGCCTCATTTTGTACTACGCATCTGGCCGCTATTGAACATTGCCCTGTTCTATTTGGCTCATGAAGATACATGAGCTTTCTATGTGCCAGGCTCTGGTGCTACAAATGGAGTTGAAGAAGACAGTGTCCCTCTCCTGGCGGTGTTTACCACCAGTCGGTAACAAATGTCAGTGTAGCACATGTAGCCATGGCAGATGTTTGAGGCAAATGCTACATAGGACTTGCACAGCTTGGTAGGTACAGAATCGTAATATGCAGTCATCTCACCCTTTCCAACTTCTTATGTCTCTTACATCCTGTCCTTTCAGTTCCTTCTTCTCATTTAAGAAAAACTTGTCACCTGGTTCATTCTTCACCTCCATACTGTGGCCACTATCCCGGTGTTTTTGCCAGTCGTATGGGCACTGGTATTTTGGTCCCTTACCTTCTTCTAGACTTTGTCTCATCTTCTCATGGTCACCAGTCAACTGATCTACTCTAGAAAGCACAAATTATTCTTTTTCTCTATATAGAATTTTCATTTTTCCCAATTTTCTTTGTTAAGTACTCCCCACTGTGACAGTTCTTTGACTTCACCAGATACTTGTAGTTAACTGACCCTTTTGTTTTCTCCCCATCCAACCATAGCCCCTTTCTGTTTTTACTTCTTATCCAGATTCTGTCTTTACATTCTTCACTGTCCAATATTCTAAACTCCGTTAGCCTCTGACCTGTCCCGAGCCCCACAAAAACTCCCAATCTGTGGGAAGACTGAAAGAAAACAGATTCATCATTAGACATTCACACAGGAACATGGATTGAATGTCTGCATCTCCAACTCCTGTAATGCCTATTGAGTTCCACTCTTCTTTCTTCCAGCATCCAGCTGTCTTGCTCTCAGCGCTTCACCTTCCCCCACCCTGACTGAGAAACAGAAGGCATGGATGAACCTCTCTCTGTTGATCACTCTCAGATGTATGCTTATCTACAATCCCAGTCTCCTCCTGCCCTTCATTGTTGCAGGGCTTTTCTCCTCCTTTTAAGCTGCTGTGTGGAGACCCAAATGGGCTTCTTGCTCTGACAAAGTCAGGCACAGGACCTGCGCAGCCCCCAGCCTTGGATACTGGGTGTTCAACAAACCACTTTTTGTTTCAGTTCATGTCTCTGGAATCTTTTTTTTTTTTTTTTTTTTTGGTAGCCGAGAAACTGATTCCTTGGTGGCCCCAAGGAAACTTGGCGACTTTCCCCATTAACTAGCTCCATGGGATAATTCTAGGTCTTGATGCATTAAAGGATACAAGTGAGTAAACAGTGCAAGGGGAGGAGAAAGGAGGAAACAAGGAAAAGGCATGGGAGGCAAGTATGAATCATAACGCACACCACAGATGCTAGGGTCAGCACAGACAGATACCAAACACTGCTTTATCAGACTCATCAGTTTCCAAATACTCAACAGATCAAAGAAGTGCTCTGCTGGTCACTGAGGGAGAATGTGAAATGCCATGTCTGTTATTTCCTTCACAAGGTTGTCTTCATCCCCGCTTCACAGAATTGACTCTTTTGTATCTTTTACAATCTTGCTTTTATTTCTTGTCCTCCATGAAGCTTTCTCCAAGCCCCAGGGCTAGTCTCTCCTTGCTCAGTGCCCTTACAGCCAATAGACAAATTAGTCAGGGCATGTTATCTCCACATATAAGAGGCCAGCACTTACATATCCCACCATCCGCTATGTCGCTAAGTCACTCGTAATTGGTCTAATTCTCCATCATGTTTCCTGCACCCAGCATAATGCCTAAGAATCCAACACACACTTGTGGAATGAATGAATGAAAGGATGAGACCAGTTGAGACATTCCAAAAAGATGAATAACACATGTAGGAGCTGCATCTTCAATCCCAAGAAAGCCCTTTTCTATTCACACCCAGGTACTTCTTGGTGGCCCCCTCTCATCCTCCATATATAGGTCAACAGGTTTCCTTATCCAGGCATCTCTCTTCAGCAAGCTATTTACTTTGGTCAATACTCTGTGTTGATCTACCAATCACAGCTGGTCCTACCTGACTGAAGGAGTGGCAGGTGATTCTCTCTGAATCACCAGCGCAGACCCTGGGAATGCACCAGCCACTCACCTCGCTTGCTGGCAGACGCAGCAGAGCCAGGCCTTTTCGTGCTTCTGGTAGGAGCAGCAGCTCTTGCAGACATTGAACTTGCAATCTCCACACTGGCGCTTGGTGTTGACGAGGAAGGTGAAGGGCGAGCAGCAGCGCATGCAGCAGTGCTCCACAAACTGCTGGTGCTTTGAGAGGATGCTGCACTTGCTGCCTTCATCATCCAGTTTCTGCTTCAGTTCACTGAAAAACCAGGGTAGGGGAAAGGGGAAGAGGAGAGAAAGAGAACATCAGGTCAGGGGCAGTCTCCCCAAAGCACCCATCCTGTCCCTTCCTTAGACCAAACTACCATGTAGGACCTTCCTGGAGAACAAGAGAGCTCACAAAGATCAACTGCTGAACACTATGTCCAGAGAAGAACATTAATCGTGGATTAGTTTTGTGCATGTCAGATTTTCTAAGAGAAAACATGAAAACCTTATTACTTATATTTCAGAGACTATGGTGAGATACAAGTTATTAAAAAACTAATAAGCACATCCTTAAAAAATAAAACCTTTAACTTAATTAATGCCTTTTTAAAGGAATAGGAGATCACTTATGATAAAACACTAATCCTCACTCAGCCCTGCTGGGAATATGATAAATTCACTCCTGGCCTTATTTAACATCCCTGGAACTGAAGTACCCAGGGATTTTTAAAAGCTTTCAAATCAATATGAGTCAATAAAGAGTGTATGGGTGATGGGCAGATCGAGGCACTGGTGATTCAGAGTTAGATAAAAGAATAATTCTCTCCTTCTAAAAATCTCCTGATCACTGGGCACACAGCCAGCCACATTAATGCAAAACATGAAGGTGCATACACTCCTCTCTGCTCAGTGAGAAGAAAAATACACTGTGAACAGACTGAGTAACCTGGGGGGAAAATGAAAAACAAATCAAATTATTCTGAATCAGCAGGTTTGAGTTGTTTTTCATGCTATGAAAATGGGGGCCTCCAAAGAACGGTAGAAAAATGATTATTTTTACTACTATTTTGCAATGACTATAAATAATACTAGACTATAATTTTTATGATTTTACTAAAAGATTACTATTTTTACTACTTTCCTCCTATTGCACACTATCATTATAATAGTAAAACACAAACAGTCCCCCCACTCATAATGGTTCAGTTTAGGATTTTTCAACTTTCTGATGATGCAGAAGCTATACGGATTCATTAAAAAGCAGCAGAAAGTGATGTGATACTCATGATGCTAAGCATAGCAGCAGTGAGCCACAGCTCCCAGTCAGCCATGAGATCATGAGGGAGATACTCTGTCGTGTAGTATGTTTTACTGTGCTGTCAGATGACTTTGCCTAGTTGCAGGCTCATGTAAGTGTTCTGGGCACATTTAAGTCTGCTGGGCTATGTGATGATGTTCTGTAGATTTGGAGTATTGAATGCATTTTCAACTTACGATAGTTTTACCTTATGATGGGTTTACTAGGATGCAATCCCACTGTAAATCAAGGAGCCTCTATATTTTATTTTACTACAGCATTTTACTATGATAATACTTGATAGCATCTTACCACTATTTACTGCTACTATTGTTTTACTACTATTTTACTTTATTACTATTTTATTACCTTTTATCTTTGCTACTGTTTTTATTTTTACTACTGCTATTTACTATTCTTTACTACTGTTACTATTTTTCTGTACTCAGTTGTGATTATGCAGTTCATACTGAATATATTTATGATGTATGTGGCCAATATTTTCTCCAGTTCTGCCCTTGTCTTTTCATGTTTACAGCATTTATTCTCATTTAGACATGCTTATTTTTCTGAGTTAAATCTGTCAGGCTTTTCTTTCATGGACATTGGGCTTTATGTCTTGCTTGGGAAGGCCGAGATCACACCATCAGTTTATATACATAGTCAGTTAGCCCCTGTAGTAGGTTGAAGGTTGACCGTCTTAAATGGTATGCCCATGCCCCAAATCACTGCAATCTGTTAACTATTACCTTACTTGAAAAAGGGATCATACAAGTTAAGAATCTTGAGATATAGTTATCCTGCATTATCTGGGTGAGCTCTAAATCCAGTGACGCACAGAGAAAGCAATGTGAAGACAAAGGCAGAGATTAGTGTGCTGTGGCTACAATCCAAGTATTGCCAAGGTTTGCCAGCAGCCACCAAAAACTAGGAAATAGGCATGGGAACATTTCTCCCCCAACCCTTGGGAGGGAGCCTGGCCCTGCCAACACCTTGATGATAGACTTTTGACCTCTGAAGAGGGAGACAATACGTTTTTGTTGTTTTAAGCCACCTTTTTGTAGTAATTTCTTACAGCAGCCTCAGGAAACTAATATAGTTTCTACTTTTCTTTTTTTTTGAGATGGAGTCTCACTCTGAAGCCTACTGGAGTGCAGTGGCGCCATCTCGGCTCACTGCAATCTCCACCTCTCGGGTCCTGGTTCAAGCAATTCTCCTGCCTCAGCCTCTAGAGTAGCTGGGATTACAGGCACCTGCTACCATGCTCAGCTAATTTTGTTGTATTTTAGTAGAGATGGGGTTTCACCATGTTGGCCAGGCTGGTCTTGAACTCCTTACCTCTTAATCCGCCTGCCTTGGCCTCCCAAAGTGCTAGGATTACAGGTGTGAGCCACCACGCCTGGCCCTACTTTTCTTTTTTTAAGGAAAACAGTAAATATAAACTTTCCTCAACACTATATCCTCATCCAGTTACCACTCTCTAATAGTCCTAACCTCTTCTAGTTAAAGTTCCTGATGGTCAGTATATGTTCTTTATTCCCACTCACTCCTGGGTCTACTCCAATGGGCCTTTTGTTCTTTTTCTTAAAGAAAACACAAAAACTCTGCTTGAGATCCCCCATTGATCTTCATGTTGCAAGATACAAAGGGACTTCCTAGGCCTTGTCTTACCTGATTATTCTTCCATTCTTGAAATATACTTTTCCCTTCCTTGTGTTACTCTTGTTTTCCTCAGCCCTTTTCCAATTGCTTTGCAAGTTATCTGTTCCTACTATTCTTTTTAAATGTTAGACAAGATTTTTCAAGGCAAAAACATATTCACTGATGAAAATTATTTTCAACATTAATGTTAACCTGTTACTGAATAGATTGTTTGAGTCATGGTCTATGTGAATAGGTAGGCTTTCTCCACTCCAGCTTTCCTCAAGCATGGACAAATCCCTGCTTTTCAGTTCATCCAAGCAACAGACTCTAAGGTGGGTGGGTTATGGACATTTATTACCAATGGTTTAAGGGTAGTGGAAGGTGATGGAAGAGGAATCTAGCTCCAGGCAAAACAGAAAACCATTCCATGTGGGCACACTGCAGTTAAAAGTCCTCAGCCACCATCTCTGGGATTTCTTTCGAGGCTCTGTCACTGGACATGTTGCTATGCCATCTTTGCCCATTCAGGTTTTCACACGTCCCCTCTCTTCTCTTATTCTAGGGCCCTTCATGGGTGATCAGAGGAAAATTCTCCAAAGCTGTGACCTAACTGGTAAAACATGGCTGCATATGTAGGGGTCACCCTTGTCTGAATCACAAGGCATGGGAGTAAATGAATCAGGACACAGATAAGCAAGAAGGAAGATCAAGAGAATTATCTTTCTTTCTCTCCCCCACCCCCTTGTTCCCTCTCTCCTTCCCCTGGCCCTATATTTTTAAATAAAAAGAATGGTATTATAATGTTTTAATTATGAAACCTGAAAAATGGTTTATTTTTGTTTAGGTTTTCAAGTGTGTTGGTATAAAGTGGTTCACAGATTTCTCTAATGATTATAAGATCTCTGCTACATCTATCATTATGTTCCTATTTTCTTTCAGAATATTGTTTGTTTGGCCCTTGATCAGTAAGTTGAGAGGCTTACTCATTTCATTAGTTTTAAGGATAACGAGCTTTTCGTTAGGTTGATGGTTGTCTACATTGTTTATTTGCTCTCTATTTCAATAAAATCCAGTCTTATCTTTATTATTTCTTCATACTACAAATAGTAGTAAAACAATAGTAGCAGTAAATAGTGGTAAGATGCTATCAAGTATTATCATAGTAAAATGCTGTAGTAAAATAAAATATAGAGGCTCCTTGATTTACAGTGGGATTGCGTCCTAGTAAACCCATCATAAGGTTTGAGTTTATTCTTTCTCTAACCTTTAAACAGTAAAAATTTTAAAAGTAAACTCGTTTTTAACATTTACTCTTTCCTAATCTATGAATTTAAGGCTATAAAACTGTCTCGACACATCACTTTCATTGTACCTTGCAGGTTTTAAATAAGAAAATTTTTACAGTCATTTAGCCTTACATATTTTATAATTCTCAGGTTTAAAATTTTCCAAATATGTGGCTTTTGTTATTGACTTTTATTTTAACATTTTGATCAGAGAGGCTAAAAAAATTAATTCTTTGGTATTCACCGAGACTTTCATCATAGGTTCATAGCCAATTTGTGTCAAGTCCCATGTGTGTTTGAAAAGAATATTTATTCTCTGCCAACTGATAACAAGATGTTAACCAAAAACTGAGGCAGGTCTCAATGGATAGAGGTTCATTTAGCCAAGGTTGGGGACACTTCCACGAAAAACACAAGTCACAGGAGCATCTGTGACCTGAGTTTTTTCCAAAGAGGGTTTTGGGAATATTAGTATTTAAAGGGAAAAATGTGAGCCAGAGAGAAAACAGGAAGGGAGGGTAGGCAATGAGGTAAATGGATACATACTTGCGAGGCTCTGATTAGCATTCACAAATCTACATTGCACATGTGAAAAGAGCAAGTATAGGGAAAAGTCAGTTGTGCATCCATTTTAGGGTAGGCAGGAGGATGATTTCTGGTCTTGTCTTTGTCCTGTACCTGTGACGATAAGCTGGTAATCGACCTTGTCAGGTGAGATTCAACAGAACTCAGTTTTAAGACTAGTTTATAAGAGCATATGTATTCTGAAAGATTTGGTGGCTCGCAAGAATATGTGTGGTAAGAGGAACATAAAGTTCCCAGACTGCAACCCCACTAAGTAAAAGGGGAAAGTCAAGCTGGGAATCAGGCCGTACAAACCTGCCTCCCTTTGTTCCTAAATGGGCAGCTACAAGATAAAAAGCTACATACCTCCCTTACAATTTGGTCACAAGGAAGGCCCTTTAGTTCTGTTCAATTTTATCCTGACAGTGTAAATTAACATCTTACCTTCACCGGCATGGGACAAAGGACAGAATTAAAAGT